CGAGCCGCCCAGCCCTGCCCCGCTGCCCTGGCTGCCGTCCTCACCCGCCTCCAGCACAGCCGGGAGCAGCAGACGCTTCAGATCGCTGTGGCCACTGGAGGCCGAGTGTTTGAGCACCACCCCAGGTATTCAGAAAACACAGATCCTGTGTGAGCAGGTAGCAGGAACACGTGTGTGTGTGTGACAAGCACCCAAGGGCACTCCAGTACCATGGCTGCAGGGCAGGGTGAGGCCAGATGGGGGCTGGGGGCCAAAAGAGGTCAGAGGAGAGAAAAGATGCTTCTCCTTGGGTGTGCAAGGGAGGGGTCCCTGGGGGCACTGGGCATGGCGTTGGTGCACAGATAAACTTAGAATTGAACTGATTTGAAATGATGGGGTCCAGGCTTCAGGAAGCCCTGGGGGTCAGGGCCTGGTGCCAAGCCAGGGTGGGCCTCGCATGTGTTTGTGCAGGTTCCTCAGTGTCCTGCAGGAGACGGTGACGCTCCTGGCCCCTGAATGTGATGTCTCCTTTATCCCTTCTGTGGACGGGGGCGGCCAGGGTGTGGCAATGGTGACCGCGGTGGCTGCCCGCCTGGCTGCCCACCGGCGCCTATTGGAGGAGACCCTGGCACCGTTCCGGTTGAACCGTGAGCAGCTGGCAGTGGTGCAGGCACAGATGCGGGAGGCCATGGTCAAGGGGCTCCAAGGGGAGGCCTCCTCCCTCCGAATGCTGCCCACTTATGTCCGGGCCACTCCTGATGGCAGCGGTGAGGACCTGGCCTGAGTGTGTGACTGGGACATGGGCTCCTGGGGGTCAGTGTGTGCTGAGTGAAACCACCCACTCTGTCCTGTCTCCGTCCCACAGAGCGGGGGGACTTCCTGGCGCTGGACCTTGGAGGCACGAACTTCCGAGTCCTCCTGGTACATGTGGCCACAGAAGGCGTGCAGATCACCAACCAGGTCTATTCCATCCCTGAGTGTGTGGCTCAGGGCTCTGGGCAGCAGGTACTCACAGCCTGGGGCTGAAGCAGGGACAGGGAAGGGCCGGTGCCCCTCTCCCCGACGCTGACTTGCGCCTCCCCTCAGCTCTTTGACCACATCGTGGACTGCATCCTGGACTTCCAGCAGAAGCAGGGCCTGAGCGGGCAGAGTCTCCCCCTGGGTTTCACCTTCTCCTTCCCGTGCAGGCAGCTTGGCCTGGATCAGGTGAGGGGGGAGGGCTGGGGGAAGGCATTCCCAGGGCTTCCCACCCACATGCCCTTCATGGCCTCGCAGGAGGCTGGGGAGAGGACTGGGGGGAGGGGCAGGCAGAGGCACCACTGGGCTGAGCCTCCACTCGGCCTCAGTTTCCCTAATGTAGTGTGCCCAAATGGGTGGAAGTGGTAAAGTGGTCTGGAATCCAGTCACGAAGAGGCCTGGGATGGAGAAGGACACGGGTATCCCTGGGGGCTGCCAATAAGCAGGAGAGTGGAGCCAGGGGTAGGCGTGGGCACTTGGGAGTAGTGCAAGCCCAGGTCCGGGCTGACCACGCACTGGTGTCTGGCCCAGGGCCTGCAGGGAGCAGCGTTGGCTCCAGGCGCTCGAAGGGCTGTGCTCACACGGGTCCTTTGCCCTCTCTCCCCTTCCTGGCCTTGCCAGTGTCCCTCTCAGTGCCTGGCTGGGGTGGGTGCCTAACTGGGGTGGCAGAGCAGCAGGCTCTCAGCACACACCTCCACGCACCCTTCAACAAGAACGCTAGACTTTTCGTGCACACACTGAGGCCTGTCATGCAAACAGGTCCTCCTGGAACTCTAGTCCAGGTTCTCAGGAATCCCCTCCTCAACATCCCAACTTGTGTGAAAAATTGCTATGATGAGGGGTACACTGTCCCCGAAGGTGCCCACTGCGTCCTGCCCTTCCTGCGTCTCTGAGCAGCTCTGCCTCCTCGGCTCCAACCAGCCCTGGTGTGGCTGTCGCCCTCTGCTCCAGCCCTGCCCTCCCAGATGCGTGCCTCCGTACTCTGCCTTCCCCCACCCGCACGGCCACTGCATCTCTCGGCTGGTCCTCTTGCTCCGGGCTGAGCAGCTGGTGCCTTTTGATTATTTCTTATAAAGTGTGAGAAGCAGGTGGGACTCAAGATGCAAAAGCAGGCATGCAGGAAACATGATCCTATTGATCTAACACTGAACTAAATTTCTGTGTTGAACCCACAATCTTTGGAGGGTGAAAACTTAATGTTGATCAATTTGGAGACCCCCTCCCCCCTAGGGGCCCCTCTCGGCTGCACAGTGATCGTCCTTCGCTGTAATGAATGTGCAGACACAAAAGGGAAACTCTTGGGGAGACACCAGGCCCCCACTGGGAAGTAGTAGGGGGCTACTACTTCCTCTCTTGGGTCCTCACACCTCCCTGGGGAAGGAGGTCAGAGGCCTCTTCTCCTCTCAGACCACCCAAATCCTGTGTCTCCTTCCCTCCCGCCCAAGGGTGGGCCCAGCGTGGAGGGCACAGAGCACCTCTCTCAGGAAGCCATCCGAACCCTGGCTCTGCCTGCCCCTTCCCAGGCCAGGGGTTCTTTGTCTTGTCTGGGAGCAGGGAAGCTTTGCTCATTCTCATGATCTGGTCTCCCATAAACTGGCCTCCCTCTCATTCACTCTTGTTGGTTTCTGGTTTGGGGACAATGAGCACAGAACACCCTAGATGTAGTCATATAGGGAAAGTGATACGACAATATTACTGGGGGAAATGTTGGTTAGTATTCCTAATCTCCTGCCCTAAAGATTTTCAGATCTGCTCTCCACGCTTCCCCATGGGCAGAGCAGTCATTTTCTCCCCCCACCCCCCGCACTTAGAGAAGCACACCAAGAAAAGCACAGCCAAGTCCCCGTCACTAAGTTCACAATTGAAGGCCAATTTCTCACAGTAAAGGCTTAGCTGTCTTGTCCCCTTCCATCCTGCCCACATGTCTGGGTTCTGGCTTTTCTATTCGTCCTTCACTTACATCTGGCACACACGTGTGAATCTCCCAATGACACAGCTCTGTCCCAGCTCCAAGAATTCCTTCTCTCAAGCGACTCTGGCTAGTTCTTTTCAGAAGAGCAGAATCTGCTGCCATGTGGACCCCGAGCCTCCCCTTTCTCACACACAGCACTCATTTGACAAGCTCCATCCCTTCCTCACCCAATCCCGAAGGGCCATTCCTTCTGGGCAACCGTCTTAAAATGGCCAAACCCTGAGAGCATCTGAGCATTCTGGTACTAACATAGGTTGAATGTTTATTAATAGGTTTCTTCACACTGGAAGGCTTCTGAGGACTTGGCAGGGGGTAGAGGGCAAGGCCCTCTGCTGTATGGGCAGAGTGGACCTGGGATGCTGCTTACAGAGGGGGAACATGGTATGCTGGAGGAGATGCAGGCTTTGGGGAGGCCAAGTGAAATTCCAAAGGGTCCCCTGCCTTGGTCCCACCCCAGGGCATCCTCCTGAACTGGACGAAGGGTTTCAATGCATCAGACTGTGAGGGCCAAGATGTCGTGCTTCTGCTGCGGGAAGCCCTTGAGCGCAGACAGGTAGGGAGTCTGCCTCCAGGGGTGCTTTGGGACTGTGGCAGGCCTTGAGGCGAGCAAAGGGTCTCTCGCTTCCTAAGAGGGGGACCCTCTGCAGTAGAGACCTCTGGGTCCAGCACCAGTTGCCGTGACGACCATGTTGCCCAGCAACTAGCCTCATCCTTTTGTGTGCAGGCAATGAAGCTGACTGTCGTTGCCATTGTCAATGACACAGTGGGAACCATGATGTCCTGTGGCTATGAGGACCCCCGTTGTGAGGTCGGCCTTATTGTTGGTGAGGAGGGCCCTGCTCTTTTGTGTCCCTACTGCTTGATGCTAATTCATGGGACACTCAGTGCTTGGAGCTGGGGTGGAGGGGCTTGGGGGGAGGGTGCCAGGGATTGACAGAGAATGAGCTATGAGGGTCCTTTAGGTCATCCAAGATTCTAAGTCTTTATTAAGCACCTATCCTGTGGCCAGCTGAGGGATGGATGAAGGGACAGGAAGACACATAAAGGGAGAAGACACTTGCCTTTTCAGAACTGACCATTTAGCAGGGCTTGAGCCTAGAATAGCACATGGCAGTCAGAGAGAGCTGAACCTGACTCTGTGCCAGGGTGACAGGCTGAGCTCAGAAAGGAAGGGGTCCCACGATGAGTGGGACTTGCAAAGAAAGCCTTGAAAGAAAGGATCTGGCTGGGCAGGGAAGGAGGGCTCCCACAGGTCCTCAGGCATCCATCTCTCAGAGCACAGGGTGGGTGATAGCCACTCGTGGGACCGGGAGCTTCTTGAACATAGAGCCTGGCATGGGCAGGCGCTCGGAGGGGTGTGCCCAAATTGCCATGGGAACAAACCACTGGATGGAGGAAGTCAAGGTGGGGTTGCAAGGAGTCCACCTGCCTAGAGCTGACCGGGTATTGGGATAGGAAAGGGATGCCTTTGCCCTCTGCCTGGAATGCCGTTTCTTTCTGTGCTTCTTGGCTTCAAGGCTAAACCCCAACTTACTTCCTCTCTGTAGCTTTTCCTGACCCTCTAGGCAGGATGATTCGGCACTCCCAGGATGCTCTTCTTTGCACCTTCATTTAGGCACATATGGGCAGTCTCTGAGTTGTCTGCTCATTGCCCCACCTCTGGCCACTGCGGGGCTCCTCTGGTCTGACTCCTGTCTCCGTCCTTGGCTCTTGGCCCAGCACCTGCTAGTTTGACTAAAGAACTGAAGACCAGTTCAGGGAGCTTAGGCGTCTCACCTGCAGACAGTGGAGGGCTGTCACACATCTCCCAGGGGAATGGCATGGCTGGTGGCATTTCTAGGAGTACCCGGGGGAAGCATGGGAGATGCACCGAAGGTGGAGCTGGTAGGGGAAGCAGTGGAGGCCCAGGGGCTTGGTGCTGGCAGGGGCTGCACAAGAATGTCAGGAAGGAAAGAAGACCAGGACCGGGGGCAGGGCATGAGTGTGAGGAGATGGAGATGTAAAAAATGAGCCCACATTTTGCCGTCTCAGTGCAGGAAGGGTTCAGAGGGGGTCCTGTCTGATTTAGTAAATGGCGCCTACTCCGCCTGGCCTTCCTGCAGGAACTGGCACCAATGCCTGCTACATGGAGGAGCTCCGGAACGTGGCAGGAGTGGCTGGGGACCTCGGCCACATGTGCATCAACATGGAGTGGGGCGCCTTTGGGGATGACGGCTCTCTGGACACGCTCAGCACCTGTTTCGATGCAAGTGTGGACCGGGCATCCATCAACCCTGGCAAACAGAGGTGTGGGCTGGGCCGGGCAGGGGTGGCTGGTGGTGGCTTCCGCTGGTGATGGTAGTGGATGGGTCTTCTACCCTGTGGGCACACACACTTCCATGCAGGTTTGAGAAGATGATCAGTGGCATGTACCTGGGGGAGATCGTCCGCCACATCCTCTTGCATTTGACCAGCCTTGGAGTTCTCTTCCGGGGTCAACAGACCCAGAGCCTTCAAACCAGGGACATTTTCAAGACCAAGTTTCTGTCTGAGATTGAAAGGTGCCGAGCCGTGCATTACCGCCTCCCACCTCCCAAAGGGGTCTTTCTGTTCACTTTGGGTGGAAGGCTGGTTGGAGGGAGGTCCACCCAGGAGGACAGAAGCCACGAGAGGGGAGCTAATGCCAGACCCTACCTCTGTGTTCTATTCCTTCCTGTCCCCAGTGACAGCCTGGCCCTGAGGCAGGTCCGAGCCATCCTTGAGGATCTGGGGCTGCCCCTGACCTCGGATGATACCCTGATGGTCCTGGAGGTGTGCCAGGCTGTGTCCCAGCGGGCAGCCCAGCTCTGTGGGGCAGGTGTGGCTGCCGTGGTGGAGAAGATCCGTGAGAACCGGGGCCTGGAAGAGCTGACTGTGTCTGTGGGAGTGGATGGGACCCTCTACAAGCTGCACCCCCAGTGAGTCTGGATGCCAGGCCGGTGGGAGGCATGCCTGGGTAGGGCCTGGCTGGCCTGGGCTCACCTCAGCCCCTCCCCTCACAGCTTCTCTCGCCTGGTGGCGGCCACTGTGCAGGAGCTGGCCCCTTGCTGTGCAGTCACCTTCCTGCAGTCGGAGGATGGGTCAGGCAAAGGTGCAGCCCTGGTCACTGCCGTTGCCTGTCGCCTGGCCAAGCAGGCCCATGTCTGAAGAAGTCTCCAGGAACCAGCTGTGCTGGACCAGGCCTGGGGCCCCACTTGTGCCCCAGCCAGGCTCAGCCACCCAGGACTCCCAGAACAGCCCATGTGTGACCCCTCTGTGGCCACTGACCTCAAGTTCTGGCTTCCCCGAGAGAAGCAGCACTTGGGTTAGCAATATATATATAATTTATTTACATTCACGTCCGCTAAAATCCCTACGCGCCCCGGCGGCCGGGCAAGGCTGTGTACATAAGGCCAAGTGTAAGTGCGTGAATGCACTTAAGACAGAGTCAGGGCACGAGCTTCACACGACAGGCCCCAGGAGCGGGCACGCCACGGCACGCACACTCGCCATTGTCCAGCCCAGGACTCCCGTTGCATATTCACACGCCCCGTCGGGCAGGGCTCCTCTTGGTGGGGGAGGGGGAGGATCAGGGAGGAGCCTTGGGTGTCCCTGGGTGGGTGGGAGAAGGGCAGCATGTGAGAGGCAGATGTGGACTGATACCGGGCGTGAGAGGTGTGAGTGGCCTCCAGGTGTACAGCATGACGTGTGTGCGGGGGAGGGGGAAGCCGGTGAGATGACACACGAGACATGCGTGGGCACATGCCCGTGTAGGGGTCGTGTGCCTGAATCCAGGGGCCGCCCCCCCATCCGGCTGTGGCCCTCAGTCCCACAGGCTTGGAGCCGGGCCCCTCAGATGTGCCCCTACCCAGCAGGCACAGAAATGTTTGCATAAGGTCCAGCTCAGGCAGGAGCTCCAGGGTGCGTCCCGAGCCCAGCGTGTGCACACATGCTGTGCGTGTGCGGTCCCCGGCCAGGGGCGGGGGGAGAGGTAGCACCACACACATACACACACACACACAGGGGCTGGGCCTGGGCTGGCTTTTGGCACTGTCCAGCCTGGGCCCTGGGGGCAGGTGGCAGTGCCAGCCTGGCCTGGCAGGCCCTGGAGGGGGGGGAGCATGGGCAGGGTCTGAAGGGCCAGTGTGAAGAGACAGCGTTCACCAGGAGGGGCCTGTCCACACAGCTCCCCGGTGTGGGGAGGCCCCGTCCGGCTCTGCCTGTCCCTGGAAGGTCCCAAAGCTGGTGAGAGTGTAGGTGTGGGGGCCTGGCTGGCCTCAGCATTCAGCCTCCGACACTGTGAAGAGGCCGCCGTCTGGCTGGCCCAGTCCGGCCACTGCTGCAGCCAGCTGGCTGAGGTTGCCATTGGGGAAGTGCCTTGCCTCCCACAGGTTGAGGATCATGGCTGTGGGGCTGGGCTTGGAGGCAAAGAAGCTGAGATGGCTGTGGAGAGAAGGGGAGGAAGGGAGCCCATTAGTGGCCTGGCCTCACCCCAGGCTACTGCCTCCTGCCCCCAGCCCACCCCTCTGTCAACCATACTGGATGCCCTGGCTGCTGATGGATGGGCCACAGGCCCCACAGACTGTCCTGTCCACCCCACCCATCCTACCCCGCCAGGCTGGACTGCAGGTGGCCTTTGCAATCCCCCCTGCCCATCTCCCAGGCACCTGTCCAGGTGGAGTTTCTGGGCCAGAGTCCGCCAGTCGGCACCTCGGCTACAGGGTGGGTCCAGGCTGGTAATGATCTTCTGCCGAATGAGGAAGGGGATCTTGAAGGCACTGGGGCCCACTAGGGCTGGGACCCCCCCTTCGCTCTCCAGAGCCAGCAGCTCCGTGAATCTTGTGTCCTGGGGAGGAGGGGGGACAGCAAAGGGGCGAAGAAGACTGTTAGAACTTTCCCTGGCCCAAGCCCACGGCAACCTCCTGGGGGAGCACCCAAACCACCTTAGAGCAAAGCACCACCTGACACCCCCACTGGGGCTCAGGTGTAATGACCTGCCAAAGTCACACAGCCAGTGAGCACAGGAGCTATCTGGCCTCCTTCCCCTCCTCCCCCACCAGCCCTGACCCTACCCGCCCTGCTCAGCCTCTGCTGAACACTCGGGATTCACCGTGTTCCTCTCTCCGTCTATGTCCTTGAACTCAGACACTGCCAGAAACGCTGCCCTTCCCTCGCTGCTGCCTGTCTAACTCTTACTGATCCTCTGAGGCCCAGGACAGAGTCCTCCTCAGGGAAGCCCAGGCCGCTCCACCTCTCCTTCCTGCTGCTCCCACATCCTCTTCAGTCCCTTCCAAGTCAGTCCCACTGCATCTGTCTACTTGCACCTGCACCTCTCCCTGGAGACTCAGAGGAAGAGGCCAAGTGGTTTCTGGTTTCGAGGAGGAGGTGTCAGGGCGGGCCTGGGGTGTGGCGCACATTATGGCAGTGCTGATGCCTTTCCTGCCCACCTTGGTGATGTTGAAGTTGATGTTGAAGCTCTGCCCGTCACCCTCCACCTGCCACACCCACACCTTGCAGGCCAGGTCACTGGTGCTGGGGCTGACACGCTCCAAGGTGAAGGTGCAGTGCAGGTACTGCTGTGTGCCATTCCAGATGTGATAAAAGGGGATCTCCTGGGGGGGGGGGAGCAGAAGGGCAGCGTCAGGGGTGCCCGTGGCTGGTGGGCCCGGCTCCAGGCACCTTGAGCGCCCTCACCTGGTAGCTGACGAGGAGCTTGCTCTTCCACAGGGAGCTGGGCACGTCGTGGATAGACAGGCGCAGGTTGTGGTAACTGTCCTTCAAGTGCAGGACACGAGGTTCCTGGATCAGCTGTCCTCCCAGCTGCTTCTCCAGCTGCACCACCTCCTGCAGGGCCACAGGTGGTCAGCTGAGCCCGGGGGCTGGGAGAGCCCCCTGCACCTCAGCCCTCAGGGCCAGGCGCACAGAGGGTGGGGCTGGGCAGTACCTTGAGTGCATCTCGGGTGTCCTGTAGGCAGTAGACTCGGATGTTGTATTCTAGGGAGGTGCAGGCCACGGGGGCAAACAGAAGCAGCTTGAGGCGCTTGGCAGCGGCCACACTGAGGGCCTCTCCCACGAGGGCAAAGCGGCCCAGCTGCTCGGTGAAGATGTAGCAGGTGCCGGCCTCCAGCTGGCAGTAGTAGAGGTGGGAGGGCGCCTCCTCACCCAGGTGCAGCACGTCCTGCGGGTAGGGCCCGATGGGTCAACTCATGGCCAAGTGCAGCTCTGAGGGGTGGCCAGAGACTGGGGACAGGGACCTGGCTCAAGGGCCAGGTGGGAAGACAGGCTCCACTCAGAGGCCGGTGTTGGCTCCCTTGGGTGGGCAGTGGGGCTCACCTCCCAGCTGCCCTCGCAGGACTGCTTCTTGAGGCGCAGGCTCCAGCTCTCAGGGCTAGGCTCCCCGCAATGGTCCATAGCCAGGATGACAGGCCGGGTGAGCAGCACTCCGGGGGGCCCGCAGCTAACGATGGGACTCAGCAGGGTCTGACAGCCGGCTAGGGGCAACCTCAAGTGGGGAAGTACAGGTGGGGAGGGAAAGGCATCAATGGACCACCCTGGACTGGGTAGGATGGGGCAGGGCAGCGGCCCCTGGGGTCAGGAGCAGAGCTGGGTTGAGCTTAGGGGCAGCTCTTCCCCGGATCCCCCTCAGGCCAGTCCACACAAGGCCCAGCAATGGTTGGGCAGGTGGCTTCCTGGTGACTGCAGGCAGGGGGGCCCACCCAGCCTCAGCTGCAGGGCCCAAGCCCACACCTCACGTCCTCCGGCTTGTGCAGCGTGAGGTAGATCTCGTAGATCTTCCCGCGAGGTATGGCATCTGGGGGGATGAGGAGGCTGACCCCTGTGATAGAGCGGGAGGAGGGCCAGGCTTACCAGGCTGCAGAGACACCAAACACTGCCAGCCCCTCTGTAAGTCTCCCTTTGAGGACGGATCGGTGCTAGCCTGGCCTGGGGACAGAGGTGCCACAGGGACTGCCCAACCATCCACACGGCAGGAAGCGAATCACAGCGACCCCAAGAGAGCGCAAAGACACTTGGGTGGGCAAAGCATGCCCAGTGAGCCTGGGCACAGAAAACACCGAGACAAAAGGTGCCAGGGATGCTGGACCTACCTCCCCTTGCCCTGCTTAAAGCCTTCCCTTACTCCTACTAGATGGAGTCTAGCTCCCTGGCCTGGCATTTAAGGTCTTTCGCCTCTGGCCCCAACTGCCTTCCCAGCAGCATCTCCAGCCCAGCCTGAGCTGCCTACTCGCTGTTCTGGAACCACCGCCCAGAGCTGCCTCTGTCTGGGTGCCCTGCCCTCCTCCCCTGCTCACGACCACCCCACCTCCACGGGCCCTGGCCGCCTCTGGGGATGGCAGCTCTCTGCCACCATGCATGACTTGGGCAGTGGCCCACTATAGGTGGGGCCGGGGCCTTGAACAACCTCGCCACTTTGATAGCCCTCCTGGGTCTGAGAGCCACTGCGCATGTGTCCTGCTGTCTGGCTGAGTCACCCCTGCCCCAGCGTCTCGCGGGGGCAGCATCAGAAAGCGCCTGCTGAGGGAGGAGAGGTTCCAGGGGAGGCAGTAGGGGCTGGGAAGTTGCTCTGGGGATGGCGAGGGGTGGTCGTGCCCCACCTTCCTGCCCTTTCAGGACAGGGAGCCTCTACATTAGAAGAGGGAGAACAATTCTATGACTCTGTCCCATCAAATCTGAAGGCACAGGCATGCTCTTCAGAGTGGGCGACTGGCTGGGCCGGCTGGATGGTCACCACTTCCCAGGGACTGAAGCCCAGGAGAGGGGAGCCAGTGATGGAGTGCTTACAGCTACTGCTCCCTTCACCAGCCTGTGCTGCCTCCTGGTACCGGCTGCCGGGGTTGGTGACAGGCCCAGAGACTGAGTGTGAACACACCTGCATTCCCAGTCAATGAACGCTCACACCGAGGACAGGCACTCAGGAAGGTGAGGCACAACCACGGGCCCTGCTCTCAAGAAGCACCCAGCCCAGTGGGGAGAACAAGATGGATGGCAGTCAAGAGTCCTGGGTGCGGGGGCAGCCACCCCACAATGGTCACTGACCACCCGTGTGTGCCTGCCCCTTCCTCAGGCATGGACCATCTCACCTCATCCCTATGGCAGAGGCATGAAGCACAGAGAGGGAGAGCTGCCAGGCCAAGACCTGGTGGGAGGGGAGAGGGATCGTGTGTGGTGGGGTGCTGGGAGCCCACCGTAGCTGCCATGTGCAGAAGCTCCCTCAGGAGGAAAGAGGCCACCACAGTTGGCCAGCAGGGAAGGGGCCACTGTGGCCTTGTCACGTGGGCTTTGCAGGGGGCATTGGGAAGCCCCGGAAAGGAGAGGGACATGACGAAGGGTGGCTG